GGAAAGGATGAATTATTTATAAATGGTGTTGGGTCAGTCCTCATGTGTAACATTCCTCACACTCATAAATAAAATTCAAATGAATCAAAGACTTAAACATAAAAAACTAAAACTTGGGAAGAAAATACAGGATGCTGTCTTTATGATCTCAGAATAAAAAAAGCTTCTTAAATAATATGAAAAGCATAGTCCATAGCGAAACAGATTGATACATTTGACTAACTCAGTAATTTGAATTTCTGTATTACAAAATAAGCACTCCAAAAGTAATGTTCAAAGGTAAGCAATGGACTTGGAAAAGACATCTGCCACATACATAACAAAGGATTAGTATCAGACTGTAAAACGCTGCCTAGTATAGCTCAGTGAGTTGAGGGCCGGTCTGGGAACCAAAGGGTTGTGGGTTTAATTCCCAGTCTGGGCACTTGCCTGGGTTGTGGACCAGGCCCCAGTAGGGGGTGTATGAGCGGCAATCACACATTGATATTTTTCTCTTTCTCCCTCCCTTCCTCTCTCCCTAAAAATTAATAAATAAAATATTTGTTTAAAAGAATATAAAGGTGTACATTGGTTTCTTGTGATCAATAAATAAGAGAAAGATAATTCAAAAGAAAAATGAGCCAGGGACAAAACCCTGCATTTTGCTGAAGAGAAAACCCAGATGACTAATAAACTTTGAAAGAATTCTCAGAATCTCTCTAATCATCATGGAAATTCACATTAAAATGAAACATTATTTTTCTTTTTTCAAATGTATTAGTAATTCTGAATAGCCAAAACAATTTAGAAAAAGAAGGACAAAGTTGGAGACCTCACACATCCTGATTTCAAAACACACTGCAAAATAACAGTTACCAAGACGGTGTGGTACTGTCATATAGACAGACATACAGAACAATGGAACAGAATAGAGAGCCCAGAAGTAAACCCTTGAGTATATGGCCAAATAATCTTCAACAAAGTTGTTAAGACTATACACTACAGGAAAAGGACAGTCTCTTCAACATATGATGTTGGGAAAAGTGTACATTTACATACAAAAGAATGCAGTTGGATCCCTACCTTCCTTACACCATATTCAAAAATTAACTCAAAAAGGATTAAACACCTAAACATAAGACCTAAAACTATAAAACTCCTAGGATAAAACATAGGGAAACAGCTTCAGGACATTAGATTTGGCAATGATTTTCCTTGATATGACACCAAATCACAGGCAACAAAAGCAAAAATACTTAAAAAACTTAAAAACTTCTGCACATCAAAGGAAGCAATCAACAGGGTGAACAGACAACCTATGAAGTGGGAAAAATATTTGCAAATCAGATCTGATTAAGGGATTAATATCTAGAATACATAAGGAATTTCTATAACTCAATAAAAACAACAAAGACAACAACAAAACAACTAAATAACCCAATTTAAAAGTGGGCAAAGAACTTGAATAAACAATTCTCCAAAGAAGATATACAAATGGCCAACAAGCATATGAAAAGATGTTCAACATCATTAATCATGCGAGATAATACCTCATACTCATTAGGATGGCCAGTATCGGGGGGCGGGGAAACGAAAACAAAAACAGAAAATAAGAAGTGTGGCCAAGGATGTGGAGAAATTAAAACCTTTCAACACTGTGGGAATGTAGCATGGTACAGACATTAGGAGAACAGTATGAGGTTCTCCAAAAAATCAAAAATAGAATTACCAGTAATCTCACTTCTGGGTATACATCCAAAAGAATTCAAAGCATGATCTTGAGGAGGTACTTGCACACCTATGTTCACTGCAGTATTACTCCCAGTAGGTAAGAGGTAGAAGTAAGCCAAATAGACAATGATAGATGAATAAAAAAATTAGCATATACATTTTATGATAGAATATTATACAACATTGAAAAAGAAGGAATCCTATCAAACATGGATACACTTCAAGGACATTATGCTAAGAAAAATAAAGCATTCTCAAAAGGACAGGTATTATGTAATTCCCCTCATATGAAGTATCTAAAGCAGTCAAAATCATAAGAACAGAAAGTAAAAAGTTGGTTGCAAGGGCTAGGGGAAGGAGGGAAGGGAAAGGGAATTAGTATTTAGTGGTTATAGAGTTTCAATTTTGCAAGATGAAAAAGTTCTAGAGATATGTTGCACAACGATGAATATACTTAACACTATTAAACTGTACACTTAAAACTAGTTAAGATGCAAAAATTAATGGTATATGTTTTTACCACAATAAAAAAGTTACAAATTTAGCCAAAAATTTTATTATTGTATAAAATATATAACAAATCCAAAAATGTGTAAAATGCATCTGTAAAGTTAAAAATAATAAAATTTAGGCCTGGCCAGTGTGGCTCAGTTGGTTGGAGCATCATTCTATGCACCAAAAAGTTGCAAGTTCTATTCCAGTTTAGGGCACGTAATTAGGGTGTGGGTTCCATCTCCAGTCGGGGAGCACACAGAAGCATGTGCAGAGAACAACTAATCGATGTTTCTCTTTCACATCAATGTTTTTATCTAGCTCTCTGTCTTTCTCCCTCTCCCCCCCTCCCTCTTCCTCTCTATTGAAAAAGCAAGGAAAAATGTCCTCAGATGAGGATAGTAATAATAATAATAAATAAAATGTATATCCATATACCTACCACACAGCTTAGAAATAGAATATTATTAACACATTAAAGGCCTTCTGTATGCCCTGCCTCCACCGGAGGTAACCATCCTGAACAACTGAGTTAATCTTTCTTTTGCTTTTTAAAATAGTCTTATTACTAATATATGTGTATCTCTAAACAATATATTTTTACCTAAATTGGACTTTATATCAATGAAATCATACATCCTCCTGTAAATTATCTCTTTTTCTCTGATCTCATATTCTCTTTTTAAACACGAATCTCTGAGATTCACCATACTTATACATACATATTGTGATGCATGAAAAGACCACAATTTATTTTCTAATATGTTCCTAATGGACATTTAAGATATTTCCAGTTTTGAGATATTGCAAATGGCTATTACTGCTGTGAATATTTTTGTGCTTTTCTTGGTCCTGGTATTCATATGCAAAATTTTCTCTAAGGCCTGGATTTTAGAGTATAGACATAGGTAAGTGAAAAAGAAATTGGAACAACCTAAATATCTATCAAAAGGTTAATCAATGAATAAAATGAGACATATTTATATGATAGAATATTATACAGTAGTCAAAAGGAATGGACCTGATTTTTCTGTATCATCATAGATCTCAAAAAACGCTATATGGAAATAAAAGTGAGAGAAAAACATAAACAATGAATCATACTATTTAAGCAAAAAGAATTTAAAAGCACACATTATGCAATACAAAATATACGTAAAAATATAAAAAGTGGACTGGAAGTATACACACTAAACTCATGATAGTGATTTCCTCTGGGGAAGAAGGGAAAGGGGACTTTAGATGTATCTATGTTTTATTTCCTTTTAAAAAGAGGTTAAAAATAAATATGATGAAAGATTAACAGTTGTTAATTTGTGGTGGTTGAATATGGGTATTTGTTATATTGTGGATTTTTGGTATTTTTTTTTTTGTATCTTTTAAGTTTCTTTTTTTTTAAGTTACAGATTTGACCCAGAAGACTGTAGGGGAGAAGGATGGGTAAGCATCATTTAAATATTTAAGTGTTTGCTTGATAGTTTATCTAGTATTCAAAATTCACATAATCCTACTGTGAAAGATTTTTTCTTGTGGTTTTCACTCTTTTGATATAATTTTCAAAGAAACAGCGGTTTAAAAAAAGAAATTTTGTCCAAAATGTCATACTATTTCCATAGGACAGATACCCAGAGATGTAATTACTGCGTCAAAGAGGGTGCATCTTTTAAACATTTGCTGCCCTCCAGGAATATGTCCTAATACACCTTCCTTTGGAAAATCTTAACTTGAAATATAGCAGATCTAGGAATATTTATTATAGGCATAAAAAGTCCGTCCTTTATTTAATCCCTCTTAACTGATATTTAATTCTTCTACTTTTGTTAATACATATACTTTTGCATTTACCCCTGGTTTGTCTAGATAAAATGTTGATCCCACTAATGAATAGACACAAAAAGAACATATTTTTGCTCAATATCAGGAAGGACTTTATAAAGAGACAACTGTACAAAGACAGACACTCCTCAGTACTGGAGGTAGCTAAGCAGAGATTGGACAATTTCTTAGCAGAATGTTATAGTCTCCTTTCATTCCTCACACCTTTAGGAAACACCTCGTCCTTCAGCCATATGCAAGGACCTGAACACCCAGAGGTGGAAAACTTTAGGATGCTGCCACCCAAGTTTAATCTCAAGAGTGTAACTAAATGATCCAGTCCTAGGGTTCTCTGAATTCTTTGTTAATGGCTGGACCTTAATTTTAGGATTTGGAGGGTGTGCCAGTATGAAGGACTGGAAACCCAGAAAATAGAAACAGCCTCTAAAAAAATTTTAAAAGATTTTATTTATTTTTAGAGAGAAGAGAAGGGAGGGGGAAAGAGAGAGAAATATCTTCGATGTGAGACAGAAGCATCCACCGGCCCCCTTCTCCGCTGCTCCTCAACCAGGGACGAACCCGCAAGCCAGGCATAAGGTCTGATCGGGAATGATTCCGCGACCTTTCGCTTTACTGGGGTACGCCCAACACACTGTACCACACAGTCAGGGCGACAGCCGGTTTTATGAGAATTCAATCAATTAAGTTTCTCAAAACTATTCATCAAGTTCACCTGTGTGTGTTAGATGCAAAGATAAATTCTCGCTGAAGGGACATTAAAGATCGGGAGAGGGAGAGACACTTGAGGGGCGGGCGCTTGGGTGAAAAAAAGCAGCGTCTCCTAGTCTTCTCCCTATTTGGCTCGTTTCGCGTATTCCTCGACTCCAAGGTACCAAGACCCCATACCCTAGGAGCTGAATTAGCGCCGGCGGGCATGCTAGCTCGTGGGTCATTTAGAAGCCCGGAACCTCCCAGGCAAGTTCGCGCAGCAGTGCGCCCGGGGAAACGTTTGAGCGCTGCACCACCCTGCGCCATGCCCTTCAGCCCAGTGCTCGGAGGAGAAAGCTTGGGACGTGGGCCCCGGCTGTGGCGTGAGGGTTTTCTTTGTAGTTCGCGGTCTGAGGCCAGGCCTCAAGCAAGAACGGCATCATCATGATGAACGGACGGCCGGGCCGAATGCCCTTACAGTTCCTGCCGGATGAGGCCCGGAGCCTGCCCCCGCCCAAGCTGACCGACCCGCGGCTCGCTTACATCGGCTTCTTGGGCTATTGCTCCGGTCTGCTAGATAACGCGCTCCGGCGGAGGCCGGTGATGTTGGCCGGTGAGGGCTGCGCGGGCGGAATCCGGTGGAAGGTCAGAGGGACTCAGGGTTGCTAGCCGGCTCCGCCATAGGCTACCAGAGGTGCCTTCGCTTTTCCGGGCCCTTTCGCTTAGCGGGCTCCGCCTCGCTTTTCTGGGGCATCCGCGCGCCCCGTGAGCTCTTCAGAATTTGGCGGGGCCAGAGTGTCATTTGGCTTCTTAGGAAACGGAGGTGCAGTGAAATCCAAGGCCTCACTGTGGGTCTGAAGGACCGGGCGGTGGACTGCCTCCCCCGTCTCAGTCGCGCTGTGGTGTGTGCAAAAATGAGCGTTCACTCCATGCTATGTACTACTGACACTACGTACATTATAGTAATTAATCTTCAAAACACCTTATGAGGAGATATTATCCACAATGAGAAAACAGAGCCTTAGAGAGGTTAGAGCAGCTTGACCAAGGTCATATGGCTTATAAGTAGCAGAGCCTCTCATTCGTCCTCGGTCTGTATTGGAAAACAGTGCTCTCAAACTCAATGTGCGTACTGATAATAACTTGGGATCTTGTTAAAATGTGCACTCTGATCCATTAGGCCTGGAGAGAGGCCTTATATTAACAAACTACCAGATACTGCTGATGCTGCTGGTGTGGAGACCCCACTTTGAGTTAACCAGAGAACTGTCTTTTCTAGTATGTCAGTCCCATCCTGTCGGAGCTGATACTAGTTGACACAGTAGCTGTGCTAAGCGCTATGGATCTCCAAATGAAAAAGTGGAGGGAAACTGGAAGATTTTGAGCTTATCTTTGACTTACCAGGCAAATACTAGGAGACAGCCTTCCACGCCTATTGGGCTACTGGGAATAAAAGAAAGGAAGGGCCTCTCGTTGGGGAGTAATTTGATGATTGAGTGTTCGGGGTAGGACAATAAGGCTGCAAAGGATATAGTAGGGAGATCATGTCAATTTATTCTCTAGGCGGACAGGAACCTGTTTAGCTTTTGATTGATTGGGTGGGGGGCAGGCCGAGATGCAGTGATCAGACTTCTGTTTCAAAAGGTCAACTTTGTCAATAATGTGAAGTAACACTGATTGGAACCAAGGAGCCCAGTTAAGAAGAAGGTTATTACAGTGGTTCCCGCAACCAGGAATCACCTCACTTGTGCCTCTTTTGCCTTCCAGCTATGTGTCTACCTGGAGGTCAGCTTCCAGCCCACCAAATTTCAGCATTCCAGTGCTCAAATAGTATTGAAATCCCATCTCCCTCCAATATGCCTCCTCTATAGAAATTTACATGTTAATAGAGATGAGTTCACCCTTTTAAGTGCAGGAAAGCTCTGGAAAGACTTCTTAGAAGAAGTGATGTCTGAGATGAGCTTGAATGATCAGTAAGTCATTGGGCAGAGAAAATAACCAGTGCATGGTATAGAAAAGCATGAAGAAGCCTAGTTTGTGTGAGGGATTAGAAGTAGTTCAGTGTGGCTCTGACCGGTGTGGCTCTGGGTTGGGCATTGTCCCACAGACTGAAAGGTCACAAGTTCCATTCTGGTCAGGGCACAGGCCTGGACTGTGGTTTTCATCCCTGGTTGGATGTGTATCAGAGGCAACCAGTCGATATTTCTCTCTCCCTCCCCCTCTCTCTGAAAACAAATAAATTAAATCTTTAAAAAAATAGTATAGTGTTGCTGGAGCACAATGTGCATATCAGGGAACAAAAGAAAATGAAGGTGGGAGAGTTGGTTCACGGTTCATGAAGGGCTTTGGAGGTCATATGCAAGAGTTGGTACTCCTGTTGAGCATAATTGAAGAAGGAACCAACACATTAGGTTTATATTTTAGTAAAAATTCCTCTAGTGACAGGATAAAAGCTGGGATCATTGTGAAGTGAAAAATGAGATTAAGGGGAGACCAGTTAGTACAAATGAGAGCTAAATGAGGAAAGGAAATATTTACAAGGTAGAATTGACAGCACACAGTGAATGGGTGTGGGGATAGGAAAAAACCAGATGATTACTATGCTTATTACCCAGGACTTGGATTCCTGGGTAAATGGTCTTATTTTTGAGAATTCGGAAAAAGAGGTATGAAGCAAAAGAAATGAGTTCATTTGGGGGTATTTAAGTGAATGTATCTGTCAACATTTGGATGTATCTGTTGTTGAACATGGGTGTCTGATTTGGATGTATTTGTGGATCACCAGCACATGGATAGTAGATACAAGTATAGTAATAAACGAGTTCTCCAAAGGAAGATGTGTGGGATAAGAAGTGGAGGACTGAAGGTAGAATTCTGGGGCTTAGCTAGAAAATCAAACCTGTAGTTAGCCTTTTGCAAAAAATATATCTATATTTAAAGTTCATACCTTTGGATCTCCCCTTCAGACTTTTGGCTTTCTCTAGAGCATGGGATTTGATCCTCTGTGTTCTCATTATACTAGAATGATTTTTTAAATATGATGATTTTATAAATATAATTTTTGAATAGATAATACATGCAAATGGGATGAAATCTGGATGGTACAAAAGAGAATTGAGATATATTTGTAGTATAGCCTGCTATTTTAGTCACTGCTAAATATGCAAATATAAATCAGTATATTGAGACCAACCAAATTGCTTTTAGACCATTTGTAGAGGACTTTGCCGCAGCTCGTCACATCTTGAACAGGTCCTGGAATGCAAATCATTTTAAGTCTAAAGTTATTAAATAAGAAGAAAACATTTTTTTTCTGTTCTCAGTCTAGCATTTGGTACTTACTCACCTTTTTTCCATGAAGAAATTTACAAAACCTCAGTTTTTAAAATCTTGGGTTCTATTGACAGTGATGTTTGTAGACTTAACGTTGCTTTTCATAATCGCCAAATAGCTTTAAGAAGACCGCAAGATCAAGGCTGCTTATTCAGAATAGCCATATAGAAAAGCCCCCTTTTTTTAAAAGAATTTTAGAAGAAATAAGAAACTTTATATCTGAAATGTAGGAATATACTCTTTACTACACATTGCGTGACTAATCTTTGCTTTCTTTGGGATTTTTCGTTTGAATTTCCTAGGTTTACATCGCCAGCTTCTATATGTCACTTCCTTTGTTTTTATTGGATATTATCTTTTAAAACGTCAAGACTATATGTATGCTGTGAGGGACCATGATATGTTTGCATATATGAAATCACATCTGGAGGATTTTCCTGAACAAGGTATTTCAAGTTAATTGTAAAAAACCTTTCTTACTCTGCGTCATTTTCCCTGGTTAATCTTTTCCATGCCTATGGCTTTAGGTTCCCTCTCCATATAGACTCCCACATCACTGTCTATAGACCAGAATTGTGCTGAATTCAAATACCCAGTTTCTGGCTAACTACCTCAGAGAGCAAACAGAACCTCACGTCTTCTCTGCCTGCCCAGACCTGTTCTGTGTCCTGCTTCAATGACGACACCACTATCCACCTGGGTACTCCAGCCAAATGCCTGGGAATCATCTTCAAGTTTTTTCTTTTACTCCCTGTTAGTTATCAAGTCTTACTGTTCTACTTTCTATTTCTCAACTCTAAACTTTTCTCTCTCTCCCACTGTTACTGCCCTGGTGCAGGTCCTAACAATCTTTTGCTTGGATCGTTGCTCCTGCCTCCAGCTTGCCTCTCTTTTTGGTCTTACTGAAGTTCACACCTCAGCCTAATTGCCTGGTAGAAACACTTTACCCATACCTTTAATCCTACACATTACATACACATAGCTGTGTCCCTCATTACACTGTAGCTTCATCTTTGTTTCCCCAACCTCCAGCACAAAGCCTACACATAGTACTGACAGTTAATAAATAATAGCTGACCTGAATAGCACAGAACCCTGCCTCATCTCCCATAATTCATCTCCTGCCTCATGAAATGCTGTGTTCTGAACCTGCCCTGTATCATTTGTACATACTGTCCCTTTTTTTTGATCCTCCTCTCTCCCATTTCCACCTATCTGTCTGACAAATTCCTGCCCAAGCTTCATCATCTCGGTGACGTTTTTACCCGGGTACAGACAGGAACTTCCTCAGCACATTCTGTTTTTCTCTGTTCAACTATAATAGTGATATAACTGTCTTCTTGTTTTTATTTTACACAAATATGCACAATACAAATATGTACATGTGTGAAGGAAGGAAGGGAGGAAAAATTTACACTTAAAGATTTTCCTAAATGCATAATATTAAGCATTGAGATTTTATTGGACTGAGTGATCACTAAGGTCCTGTTTAGCTCTAAAATTTTATTACTTTATTTAATATTCTTATAGCCTTTATCCACATTCCTACTGTTTATGGTGCATCAAAAAGGTACAATTTGTGTGTGTATGTGTGTGTGTTTGCCAATGAAGAGCTCAAAGGCTAGTACAAAGCCATGAATAGTGGTTGTATCAGGGAAGAGGAATACTCAGACCTGCTGGATATTAGAGCTGGAAGGATCTTGGGGATATTGATTCCCAAGAGTGAGACCCAATGGCAGAGCAGGCCTCAATCCCAGACCTCTGGTTCTTTGCCTCCATATTCCCTCCATCTCCCTCTGTCAGCAGAAGCATGTATAGCTTCACGGGTTCATTCTGTCTCAGAGCAGCAGATTACTGGCAGGTGTACCAAGAGCCCAGGCACTGAAGAGGATGTAAGCATAGAGAGCTTGACCGCCTAGTGTTTTGGGCCCCTCCCACCTGACCTTTGCCCCTCCCTTTCTTTCCTTCTTTTACCACTTCAGCCAGTATCCCACTAGCAGCACTTTGCTCATCTAGGCAGCCATCTGGATGTCACCACAGATTCTTCAAAAGTATTCACTAAATCAAAATGTCTCAGTGATCACCAAGCTGTCATTGAGGATAAGAAAAGGAGGAAATTTGGGGCGTTTCTATCTATAAAAATACTAAGTTTAACCCTGGCTGGTGTGGCTCAGTGGACTGAGTGCCATCCTGTGAACCAAAGGGTCGCCAGTTTGATCCCCAGTCAGGGCACATGCCTGGGTTGTTGGCCAGGTACCCCCAGTGGGAGGCACATGAGAGGCAACCACACATTGATGTTTCTCTCTCTCTCTTACCCTCCTTTCCCCTCTCTAAAAATAAATAAATAAAATCTTTTAAAAATATCCTTCTATAAAAAAATTAATTAAAAAAATTGTTTTAATTTTATTCTTTAGGAAATATGATTTAAAACATAATTTAAACATAAATCTTTTGTGATCTTTTATAGATAAGAAAACTTATGCTGAAATTTTTGAAAAATTCCATCCAGTGCGTTGAAGTCTCCAAAGTTCTTGCTTCGGTTTCACTGATAAGTTATTTCTGAATTTAGTGGAACACACTTTCATGATACCTGAAGTTATATTAACCTGTATGTTAACACCTGTAATTAAAATGGTCACCATGAACACTCTGACTCTGTTTTTGTCATAAGAAAAATAGTCCATCACAGAATGGTCAGTTTCCATTTATGCAATTTTAAGAAGACATCTGACAGATTTAAAAATGGAGTTTAGTTCTAGTTTGGTCAGCAAACTATAGCCTGTGGGCTAAATGTGGCCCACCGCCAACACAATTCTTTTGGAACAGAGCCACACTCACTTGTTTACATGTTGCTTAAGTTGCTTCCATGCCACAGCAGCAGAGTTATGTAGTTGTGACTGCGACTCTATGGCCTGCAAAGCACAAACTAATATACAGCCCTTTAGAGAAGGGTTTGCCTGCTCCTGTGCTAGTGCAAAGTGCAGAGCAAAACGAAACAAGCCAGACTGTGGAGGGGTTTGTAAGTCATGTAAATAATTTTGACTTGAACCTCTAGGTTGTAGGAAATTACTGAAGGGTTTTTTAATGGGAATAGCATGGTCGGGTTTGCATTTGTGAACTCTCTCTCTGAAAAATGTAGCAGATGGTTTACAAGCAAGAGACTTGAGGCCAGGAGAACAGGAGACTGGTACCGCAAAGGGGCCTTTGCTCTGAGGGGGATCACCCTGGAGGAAGTGGGCTCAGTGCTAACACTGTCTACGGTGCAGTGTGGTGCCATTAGTAGTAAAGGGTCCTGCCTAACTGGAATGAAGTTACTCTTTATTGCTTATCAAATCCAAATGGTTGTCCAGAAAGCTTTTGTTTGCAAGCTCAGTCTTTTATAATCATACTAGTTTTTGGGAATTAATAAAGTTGTTTCTCTCTCTATATGTGATATCAAATTAGGTGGCAGTGTGAATATAAATATGGTTTTTGGGCAAAATCAGATGAGTTCTCTCCACTTGAATCCCACTTGTTAAATATAAAATCATGTCTGAGAAAGTACTTTAGAAGTTAATAAAGATATGTACAAGTGCAAGGTATTATTTTTTAATTGCTACTGCAATAAATAGGTTCATAGTTCACCTGTGCTCAGCAGGTACAAGAATGAACCACTCACCCACAGGGACTCTGCTACCTCCTAGTTCTGGAGTATTAAAAAAACAAAAGCTAGAGCAAACACAAGGTGAGAGTGGGAAGAAAAAATGAACTTGTAATAGCACGCACATGCCAGGTGCTTTTGATTCTATCCTGTTTAATTTCTAGAATGACTTTGAGGCAGGCAATATCCCCATGTTATGGATAATGAAATCTAGGTTCCAACCAGTTAAATAACTTGCCCAAGATCACATAGTAAGTTCTAAGAGTCAGGAAGATGCTAAAACCTATGCTCTTCCTAATGTATCACATTGCTAGGTAACATCTAGTCCCTCATGAACCACTGACCATTATCCCAAGCTGGTAAGAGAGGTGAGGGGGAGTTGTGAATAGCATCCTAAAAGTAACCCAGTGATGAGTCCAGGAACTGGTGCTCAAAGTGGGGTTAGGGAACATCTCAGAAAACTGTCGCCTCACTTCCAGCTGCAGGTCTGGCCTTTCTGGTTTCGTCATGAGGGCTAGTGGGCTGCTCCGTGTCTTCATCACAGAGTCTGTGGAGTGTAGAAATTTTAAAAAAAGAAGAAGAAGAAGAAGTCAGTATAAATCCACATCGCTAAAGTACTGTCATATTCCTACTAGGAAAAATAATGACAAAGCTCAATGGTGTTGCTGTAGGAGGACTCTAGCAGTTATCAGAGCTGCAGTAACTTTCTAGTTCCACCTCTACATTTTACTAACAGGGAAACTACAGTACAGAAAGGTAAGTTGTCCAGGGTCTTATAGAAGTCAGCAGCAGAGCCAGGACAAGAGCCCATGTTTTTAACATCTGCAATACAAAAAAATCAAGTGTAGTGTAGAATTGCTGCTCTTGTCTACAAAGCTGATTGGTCAAGGAGTAGGAGTTCTGTTCACTCAGCCATCCCCAATTCCCACCTCCAGCCCCTGCTACAGAATTCTAAGGCACTAAGGAAGGAAGTTCACTAATGTAGAGGAAAGGAATTAGACACCACTCAGGCCAGGGTTCATTCACATCTCAACTCTACCATTTCCTGAGTTGGACTCATTTTACTTCTTAGACCTCTGGTCTTGTCATCTGTAAAAGGGGATGATAGTTCCATTAGATAATTGATATGCAAGCGGTTTTGAACTGTAAAACTATTCGTATACCTATTGTTATTTTTACCACCACTGTTACTATTCAGTGAAGAAATTGAAACCCAGAGAAGGGAGGTGGCTAAACCAGGGCCTCACAGCTCATTAGTGGTGGAACCAGAACTTGACCCTAGAGCTGTTGATCCAATGCAATTGTATTCAAGAACCTCTGAAAAGTGACCCAACGAGCCTTGGAGGGAGGGAGAGTGAAGTAAGGCTGAAGTTTAGATGTGGATTTGAGGGAGCAAAAGGAGAAATGGCTGAGCAAATACCTGAGCAGAGCTCTCGAGAGGCTGTGTGTTCAGGTCCCTGTTTAATCCCCATCATTACAGAGTGGCCTTCAGGCAGGTTATAAAGATAACACATATGGCCAAGATTAGGTGTGATAAAAAGAATATCCAATTCAAAACTGGGGCTAGTCTTGCTTTTGTCCTTACTGTGTGACTTTCGGTGAGTCACTTTACCTCTGGCTTTAATGTCCTTACTTGTCAAATGGAGATAAAATTCCGGCCCTGCATACCTACACTGGTGGTTTTGAGATTACCATGGATGTGAACACGCTGTGTCACTAATGAAGCCAGTGGGAGCAGGGCTGGCAGGTGGCACAGGGCCAGAACTGACAACTATTGTGGCCAAATTTCTCCCCATCTTTACCCAGAAATGACCCACCCCCGACTGTCCCATGTCCTGTCCTTATCACCTACCTGGTGCCACCACCTATTTGTCTAGCTTGCAGTCACCCACACCTTACAACCTCAGCCTTTCTGTGCATAGACATATGGGCTCAGACTTCAACACATTTCTATGTCCACACAACAGGGCTTTCCAACAGGCAAGCCTCTACACTGCCTGGAGCCAATCAGAGGGCAGTCCTTTAGCTTTCCACCTGGCTGGCTGCAGCTTGGGGTGGCTGGAGCACCCCTGCCAGTTGCAGGAATACTGTGAGCAGCCTCACCTATGTATCCTATGTGACATCTAATATCATCTTTCATGTTCTGTGACTTGACAAAATGTTGGGAAGCAATGCCACACACACACACACACAGAAGTCACAATTCACCTGAGTAAATACCCGTACTTACTAACAAATGCACGCACTCATAAACACGTGTGTACATAAGGTACGCACTCACAGGACACTTTTCCTTCTGCCTCCGTAACAGTCATGGCCATTACCAGTTCTGGGTCAGAAGGACAGTTAGGCAGTGAGGGTGGCTCTGAGGCTTGAGCTCTTTCTCTCTCATGGGGTGGCACCACTGCTCCCCCTGCGCCCCTGGGACGTCCTTTAGTGGACTCTGACTAGTGTGGCTACCATTACCTTTCCTAGAGTCCGAGGCCTAAACGGTCTGTCCTGTTATCTCCTGGTATATCCTCGTCACCTCCTCAGCTTTCAAGGTAAGGTGGGTAAGGATGTGATGAAGGCTAGTGTAGTGCAGATGGAACTGGGCTTCTAGGTCCAGCTGCCCCATGACCTCCTCCTCACCCTTCTCCGTCTCTGCAGCTTCCTTCTCAGCCACATTGGTTTGACCACCTGCCGTCTTGACCTGCCACTCTTCTCGGGGCTGCAGCCCATGATCCACATCAATTCGGATGGCCTTGAGCATGGTGAAGTAGTTGTAGAGACTGGGGGCCCCAGGCTGTGCATTCAGCTGCAGGTCCTGCAGAAGGCTGGGGAACATCACCACCTGCTCCATGTTATGCACCACGGCTGAGTACTGGTCCATGACAGTCAGTAGGCAGTTCTTGGGGTAGCGCTTGGTCAGCACCTGCATGGTTGCTTCCTCTAGCACACTGAGTCCTGCTCCAGCACTGTTTCCGTGTTGTTCTTTTTAAGGGCTGGATGTAAAGGCAGTTTGACAGGATGCCAAGGACCAGCTGGTAGGCAAAAGCACCACCTGTTTTAGGCCAGTCCCAGGGCTTGGACCCCACCAAGCGCTGGCAATCTGTCTGCCCCGGGGCAGACCTGCCAGGCTTCTTTCTGCCTGTGGTCTCAGCACTCCTGACCGCCTGAGCACGAGCCGGGCTCCTCCTCCTATCAGTTCATTGGGCCAACTACTGGGAAGCTTTTCCCTTTGGCAGCTGGTGCATTTGTCCCCAAGGCAGTAATTAACTCTTGCAGGTCACCTGAGACCAAGCTGCGTACTTAGAGTAGCCTCCTAATGTGCAGCTCACTTCTTCAACCAGGGTGCCTCAGCTGTGACATGAACGAGGAGGGTCAGGAAAAGAAACTGCTTAGTGGGGGACAAGGAGCACTGAAGTAGGAGCCCTGCAGTTTCCTAGTGAGTTTTGGTTTTACCTTGTTCAGTACCTCCTTTGCATCCATTTCAACACTAAGCTCCTCCACAAATTATCTCATTTAATCTTCACCAAAACCCCATGATGAATATTTAATCTTCCTGTTTAACAATAAGAAAACTGATGTGTAGATAACTAAAGGGACTTGCCCAGGGTCCGAGTAGAGCTGGGATTCCAGCCCAGGACCACCTCTTTCCCACCTCCACTCAGTGCTCTAGACCCATGTGTGAGGTTGAATGAGTTATACAGGTTCACTGGGTCCATATCTTTATCTGTAAATCTGAGGTATTGTTGTGAGATCGAATAAGACAATGCTAAAGAAATACTGTGTAAGCCACAAAGCATAGTCCCCAGATATATTCGTCATCTGTGCAGATGCCGGATTCATGCTGGGGTCCCCCTCAACTCTAAACTGTAATTCCACAAGTTATAAGGCTTCATCTTTACCATGGACCTAGCCCTTTGACCAAAGTCTTAGAAAATAATAATCTTTTATATCGCCTCATTATCACAATTAGCAAACAGCATTTGTTCTATTATAACTAGGAAAATGAGGCCCAGAGGAAGGTTCAAAGTTGCGTAACAAGTTAGTGTCAGAGTCCTGTGGAGACCAAGACCTTCTGAGTCCTGGTTCAGCTACCTGATCATAACATGACTTCAGGTAGGAAGGTCTCTAGGTACCTTCTGCCCAGTAGGGGAGGAGAGAAGAGGAGAGCGCAGGGAGGGGGACTTCTGTCACCTGAGCAACTCTTAAGCCCCCCCACAGGGCAGCAACCCCTTTGCATCCCCAGGATTGACAGGCACCCACTCACCCACTTCCTTCTTCTCCTATGGCCAGGCCTCTGAAAAAGTTCATCTTCATCTTCAGTTGAACTGACCTCTACTTCTCTTTAGTCCCTACCCACCGGCCAATTACCTGTCTTAAGTATGATTATATTAGCACTACAGAGTAGTGTGAAAAACCATTTATCAGCCTCTAACTCACACAGTGCCCCTAACATGAGGCAGAAAAACAATAATATCCCCCTTTTCAGATGAGGAAACAGACTCAGAAGGTCCTGGAAGTGACAGGCGAAGGCTCAGCCCAGCTCTCCAGGCCTCTGAGGAAAGCTGCAGCTGTCCTTCTCCTCTAGCGCCCTTTGTGGGAGGGATGTGTACAGAGCTGCTAGTGGCCTGGGGTAATCTTGCTTGGACAGGTGGCCTTGCCTCCTGAAAACAGAGTGGGCAGCCAAGTCCAGGAACCTGCTGTGAAGGGCAAAGCTTCCACTTTAACCTTTTCTGTAGTATAGGTCATGAAGTGGAACGAAGAGCACGGCCCAGCTCGTCCTTCCTCTGGCTATGTGGCCGCGGGCTAGTCACTGCTCCACTCTGAGCCTGAGCTTCCTCCTATGTTCTAACAACAATCGGAGCAAACATTGATTGAGGGCTTGCTATTCCATCCTCCCAACAATCATATGTAATTGGCATTCTCCATTTATGGAGGAGGAAATTAAGGTCTAAGAAGGTAAAGTAATTAGCCTAAAAACGTACACTATTAGTTTAAGACAAGGGGGATTTGGGGTGAGCAATAACTCCCACCCACGGGTTGTTATGAGGGTCAGAGCTGATGTTTGTGAAATACCTGGTATATTGCCAAGCCTCAGTCAGTATGTACTACCTCCTGCCACTTCTCCTTTCCTACTCTGTGATCCTCAATTCCTCATTTGTTTCTCCATCCTAGGACTCACCACACACATTTCAGTTCATTTTCTATCTGTCCTGGGACCCAGAACTGCAAATGTTCAGTAGATACTGGCTGGATGATGACCAGTAGATTCACTTCTTGATACACTCTAAGGTCTTTGGTCATAGTGTCCAGGCACCTTGAAAAACAGGGTTCCTGGCTTGGCAAGAGGCAATCATGAGGACTTCAGAAGGGGAGGGAGGCCAAGCGGCTGTGGCCGCACTTGGCTACCCAGGAGCCGCATGGCACTGCAAATGCTCAGCGCCGCCTCATGGGCCTGACTCTCAGGTGAGGCTCTTTTCCAGAATGACTCCTCAGGGAAGCAGGGTGTGCCGTACTTCCATCCTGGCTGTCTTCATTCTACAGGGTGCTCTCCCAGTTCTTACTGTAAACAAAAGGGTTAGCAACACGCATTAGCCCGATGTTACCTCCCCCAGTCAGTGGATTGAAGAATTTGCATAAAATTACTTCCTAAGCTATGCATGGAAAGAGTATGTTTTCTAACTTAATAGATTAAGTGAAAGAATTTCATTTTAACAGGTTACTTAAGTAAACATTTGGTTAATTCACTTCCAGGCCTAAAACATTTTTTTGTTTGTTTTTGACCTTTACAGGGGAAAACATTCTTAAAATGTTTTCTCCTTAGGAGAACAGGACATCTCTTGTATTTGAACACCCAGGACAGCTGAGCAGTGAGTATAGCCAAAGACCATGAGGCTGGACATTGGGGTTTGGGTTGGAACGGCCGCTGCCCAGCCCACTTAAGAACAGGCTCCCTGAGCTCCAATGTCCACAGCTGTAAAGGGTTTGGAGACCTCTGAAGAAAAGGCTTTTCCAGCCCTGATTGAAAAACTCCTTCTGAATCCATGTACTGGTCTCTAAGCATTCCCTGCCTTAGTTCTTGTGTTTTTTAACCCAGCCCAAGGGTCACCAACTCAGAACTGGAAAGCAGATGTTCCAGCTCTGTGCAGAGGGCTGGGAGCGCTGACTCGGGCGCACGGGGTAGGTCAGGAGTGCCTGCAAGTTGTGGCCTCCTTCGTCTTTCACCCAGTGGCCTGGAGCCACCTGGGGCCTCTGTGGGCCATCCTGGCCTCGTCTACTCAACAAGGGTCCTAATCTTTGTTAGAGCCTCTCCTGCCCAGACTTCGGGGAACTCCCTCTGAGCACATAGCCCCTGTGCCCTTCTGTGTGATTCTGCCTCTGTGTTTGGATACTAAAGCCAGTCCATTCCCAGATGTGTTGCTGGACCTGGCCCAGAAGGATGAGTAAGTGATTAAATGGGTGTATTAGTGAAAAAGGGAGAGTGTGAACAAACTGATAATTGGGGGATAAATGAGCTGTGTGAGTGAATGAGTGCAGAACCCACGAGTTCCTCTGGGGATGAGGGGGAGGAGGACCCACATGGCCAGCGTTGTCCAGCCAGCAGGCTACAGGCTGGGACTGGCCCCAGGTCTACCTGGCAGATGGAAGGCCCTGGAAAAACTGTGGCCGAATCAGCAGCTGCCAGCCATCTCTGATTAGAAGACAGAGAGCAAGGATCCAAGGGGATAGGCTGGACTCAGACAAGTCCTAGGTGTGGGGAGAGGAGGAAGGCAGAAAGGAAGGGATGTGAGGTCTTCTTACGGGTTACTATGGAGCAGGACCCAATGGACTCAGGTGTCCCTGCTCTCAAGATGCCCTGTCCCAGCTTTGGGAGGCTATCTGCTCCAACTGGGCACTGTGGGTAGGGAATCCTGACAATGGAAGGGAGGGGATTAGCAGAAACTGGACTAGACCTCATGTCACTCAGTTTCCCCAGCCTTCTTTCCTTCCCTCAATGGGGGGAAACTGAGGCTGAGCAAGGCACTCACTGTAATGGCCTCCATAGAACTGCCTGTGGCCTCCTGCTCAGGGTATCTGCATGACCCAAGTTCGACAAACTGAACTGACTCCAGATTGACGGGAGTCAAAGTGCCCAAGGGCCAGGCCAGGAACACCATGTGAATGTGGTACAAGGGACGGCTTGAGTCCAAGTAACCCTTCCTGGGCTAGGACCCAGGGAGCTACAGAAGGGACTCTGACAAAGGTTGCAGCAAGTTTTCTAGTTTTGAAAGTGGGTTTTAGCCTTGGCCAGTGTGGCTCAGTTAGTTGGAGTGTCATCCCAGAAATCAAAAGGTCATGGGTTTGATTCCCAGTCAGGGCACATGGCTAGGTTGTGGGTTTGGTCCCCAGTCGCGGTAGGGACAAGAAGCAACTGATTCTATCTTGATGTTTCTCTCCCTCTCTCTCCCTCCATTCACCTCTCTCTAAAATCAATAAGCATGTCCTCAGGTAAGCATAAAAGACAATGAATTTTATACACCACCCCCCACCCCCTTGATATCTATGGACCTCAGGCTGTTTTTTTTTTTTCCTTTGTCACTCCAGTTCTGACCTATTGAAGAACACAGGGACCCAAGGGTCAGGAGCTGCAGCACCCCCTCTCCCCAGTCTCTGGGTCCCTGTTGTGTGCCCTTATCCCCTGCTGGGCCAGGAGGAGGCCTGAGAAAACAAGACATGGTCCCTGCCCTCCAGAACCTGACTTTCTCTGTCACCCAGTGGATCTCATGGATTGTAAGCTGACTTCGTGTCTGCACTGTGCTGGGCCTGGGACTATAGCAGGGCATGAGGCAGACAGGGCACCCCCTCGGGCAATTTATATCTAGTGAGAAGAAAGCTACAACAAACATATGTACAGATAAGTATAACAGCATATTGTGGCAGGTACTAGGAAGGAAATAAAGTAAAATAATGAGTTAGAGCCTTGATGCTTGCAAGTGTGGCCTGCAGACTGGCAGGCAGCATCTAATCACCAGGTAACTCATCAGTAATGCAGACTCCCAGGCCATGCCCAGAACTTACCAATCAGAAACTGCATTTCAACATGACGCTCAGGGAATGCTTGTGGCCAGCAGGTCAGGAATTCACTCCAAACCAGCAATTATTATTCCAGTGAAGAATAAATGTCTGTGTCAAGACCTGAATTTTCTCAGCTTCTGCAAGATCTGTCTTCCAGGCAGAGGGAACAGTCAGTGCTACTGAACATGAAATATTCTCCTTAGAGGCATACCAAGCTCACTAGGCAGCCTTAGCAAGTCAATCTACTTCTTTAGGCTTCAGTGTCCCACCTGGAAAATTGAGGAGTTAGACTAAATAGAACCTCTTTCAAGGTAAAGAAACAAACAACTCCAATTATCTAAAGGGAGAATTTGGGGCATCAAGAGTCAAATGACCAGCCAAGAAGGAGCTATTTGAGGGAACAGTAGGGTCGCCCTCTCTGAAGGCCTCAGGTCACCCCAGGAGGCCCAGGCTCTTGCTGCTACTCAGGAATATGGATATCTCTTCTGTTCTGAGAATCCACTGCAAACTCTACTGATACAATTGCTCTGTGTGAACAGCTGACTGGAGTAGCCCCAGGAAGCTGGCAAGTGTTTGGTCCAGCCTCTCCTCCCAAATTCCTGTTACGCCCGTCCTGAAGTTCTGGGAAAACTCAGTCCTTCCTCCAGCTGATGCAACAAGCTCCCAGGACAGCCCAGGGCTCTGGGCCTGCTGAAGAGTAGAGAGTGGAGCTGACATGTCTGCAAAGTGGTCCTTAGTCAATGAGTCACAAAGGTCTGGATTATCAGAGCTGAAGGTACTACAGAGATCCTGCAACCCAACTTTTGCTTTATTATTGAGGGAACTGAGCATCCAATTTCTATTTCTAGTCAAGTTTTGTTCACTCCTCTGGAAAAATTTCACTTTCCATATATATCACTACAAGTCTACAATATTTTTAAAAGATTTTACTTATTTTTCAGAGAGGGAAAAAAAGAAAAGGGAGGGAGAAAGAGAAGGAAAGATGATGATGAAGGAACATCAACGTGCAAAGAAACACCATTCGGCCACCTCTCACACGCCTCCAATCTGGGACCTGGTCGCCATCCCAGGCATGTCCCCAGACCAGGAGCCAAACTGGCAACCTTTCACTTCTCAGACTGGCGCTCAACCCACTGAGCTACACCAGCCAGGGCAAATCTATGACATTTTAAAATTCTGTGGCAAGACTAGTCACTCATAGA